CCCCCCCCCCCCCCCCCCCCCCCATCCGCCAAAGTATTATAGTTCAGTGAATTCGACATCTATCCCGACATGCATGTATTCCTCTTATTACTTGCGAATCGCGTGTCGTGATTCGAAAGTATATTTTTCACTTGGTGTTTTTGTTAACTTTACCGAATATACTGAAAAACCTTTATTATTACATCCGGCAGTTTTCTGTTATTCACAGCACAGCCCTTGTGACGTCAGCATGGGAAATTAAAGACACTCTATTGGTTAAATACCTGTATATCTTGTGGCATATTATGTTCTTTTGTCAAAATATATCTGTGTGTGTATATATCATGAAATCATTCGTTTTGTTGTAGTATTTTCTCGAGGCCATTTTCCCGAGGTGCATCTTTAAACAGCTAGAGATTTTGGCGACCCAAAGGAGATATTATATAAAGATATGCTCATCCCTATTTCTGGCGGTAAGTAGCGGATTGTCCGCAGCATAAGTATTCGAGTCTTCGCTCCAGAATTTGATGCTTTCATTCATTCTCTCTCTAGGTCATGCACATTCACTTATTTATTTATTACCCGCTTTATTCGTTTGTTTGTACATTCCCACTTGGTATTTATATATCAGGTCTACTTATATTCTTTTAAATATTATTTTTTTGCAGGGCCATTAGATGACACAACAGGGACCGGGTTGTTCCGCCCTTGTGTTGGCCCTGAAACCAACTCCACGACTGCGGTAATTCTGCCCAGACAGTGTGCGGACAACACCCTGTGCGTCAGGAACTTCCTTTTCTTTTTCGCTTCCTTATCATACCAAGTGTGCTTGTGTCCGATGACCACAGTCCCAACATCACCTCCAGGATCAGGGTGCACACCAAGTAAGTCAACACTGAATATCTCTCTGGTGTTGTTGTAATAACTGTACCAGTACATAAGCCCACCCTCTCTCTCTCTCTCTCTCTCTCTCTTTGACACACACACACACACACACACACACACAGGTTGCGAAGAACCAAGCATTATGCTCAGTTGATAATGCATTGTTTCACGCTTCAGATGGGCTGGCGATCATTAACCCCCCCCCCCCCCAGCGGTCCCACGTTTGACATCGATATTACCCCCTTGATAACAGAAAATAAGTGTATCAAATGAGTTGTGCACCACTGATTTAATAATGGCACCTCATCCCATCCACTGTAATGCGATAATAATGTGATCTATGGAGGACGTTAACATTTTAACAACTGGTTATGACCAGTCATTAAAGCGGTAATGGACCAAAATGAATTTCCCTTTGACAGGGGCTTTGCATGCGCTCGGAGATTTCTTTTAAGTCCGAATATCCACCCCACCATTACTTTCATTGCCATTTACATTTATTGTTATATATTCCTTACAGTATTTCCTATAGTCCTTAGGTAGTCAACAAAAGCACATGGGCTTGAAGGCGGGACAACCTATGTAAACAATTTTGTGCATTCAGCCTTTCCATTTCTATACTGACTACCTTCTGTTATTATTGTTGTTTAGCTTTTTTTTATGCATTTACCTTTTGTTGTACAGCTGTGTAACCAAAGGTTCGTTTAGTCAAAAGCCAAAAAAATAATATCTATCTATCTATCTACTCTCTCATCCATTCGATTTGTTGTTGATCTATTTAATAATATTGTATTTACAGTCCAAGGCAGTGCCTGTACTTCAAGTGCTGAATGTGCTTTCCGACCCTACGACTGCGTTGGGTTAACTTACTGGAATATAGATACCACCCTCAAAGACTTTCTAACAGTGAGTGCATAGTATCTTTGCTAATACTAGATTTTCCCGCCAAAACGAATTTTCCTCAGTTAAAAAAAAAATAAAATAATAAAAAAAAAAAAAATTTTCCTTGGGGAGAAAATCAAAGAAATACATGCATTCAACGAGATCGTTAGACAGTGTTGCAATGAATCCAGTGCTTATTATGTTATTAACTCCTTATGTTTCTTTTGCCGTTTGCCTCCCAGCCGCTGGTGTTCTATATCTGCAGTAACACTATTGAGTTCCGGGTAGTGATACCCAACTATGCGTGTGTTGCCAACGCGTGCGTCTTTGTTGGGCTGTCGTCGGGTCTTCCAGACGGCATCCCTGGAGTCCCCGGCTTTGGGAGGAAAAAGAGAAATGTGGGCGGTAAGATATATACATATTATTAATGTGAATATTCTTTTTTCAAAACATTTTAATGTCTGGTGGTGGTGGTGCAACGGGAGTGGTGGGGGGGGGGGAGGGGGGGGGTCAGGCGTGTATCTTGACTCTTCTTGAAAGAGCCTGTTGGCCATCTTATCATTTTAGGTGATGAGAATAATTTAGAAATTTGCAGAACAATTATTGCTAGGCATCGTTTTTGTGTAATTTGTTGTGTTTCGATGGCGTCTTCTGGAATGGCCCTTGTTCTCCTTGTTCTATGGTTGTCAATTTAATTACGACAGTGACATTGCGATGGTATATATACTACGGTACCAAGCTTAATTGCTAACTAAAGATGCTACATTGAGATACTAATTGCGTCAAATGCTCGTGTAACTTCATTGGATTTTATGTAGAAATAATCAATTATCCAGGCAGAAGAGAAGTAGTCAGCATGCAAACAGCTTAAGGAAAAGTGTACTACGGATGTAAACCAACTGAAATTTCCTTTGGACATATTATTTTTATCTCTTACAACATTTGTTCTTTTTTTCATGGTCCAGATTTGCGTCGCGATGGGGACGCAGGCAAAGTTGATCCCACGGCAGTGTGGCTGAGCGCGCTGGAAACTATGGGGCAAGAGGCGTCTCGTGTTCAAGATGATGAGACCAAACCAGACGCTCACCTTGAAGTCAAGCGGAGAAGCGTATCTGCGTTGTCGGGTTCGACTTCCAACGAAGAGTGTGTTACGTCTACCATGATAAACATATTTACTGAGCTCATAGTTGGGGTAAAACCCATGTTTAACTTACAATGTACGATGCCACCGTACTAACGTATTGCGGTTGTATTTAGTCTTTTATCTAGTCTTTAAAATGATGTAATGGAATCAAGTGCCTTCTACAAAAAATAAAAGGGTAGATAAACGGATTAATATTTAAGGACTATGCAACTGTGGTATTGCTTACAGTGCAGTATATGTATGATACAGTACCTTAGAGTGTCTCTGCTTTCTTTTCTTTTATTCATTTATTTATTTTGCCATATATATAATAAATTGTAATCAGAAACAGATAAACTTTACACACGTAAAAGTAAACGTGTGGTCAAAACAGAGACAAAGAGTAGAAATGATTGTGTTCATATGAAAAAAGAGAGGTTGTGAATGAATGAAACTTCCAACTTTTCGTCGTTGCTATACAAAACACGTCTTTTCCAGAGCGTAAATGCTACAGTTGAAACGGCACAATTACGGTTGCCGAACTGACACAGTTACTATATAGCTGAAAACGCACGTGAAGATTTTAAGACCAATTAACCTTTATCAATCATGAATATTCAAAGGTGGATCCAAGCTCGCTCTCTCTCTCTCTCTCTCTCTCTCATCAATACATATATAAAAACCAACAGATTGAAGACAAAGTCTATCCCTTTCTTTCACACACACGCACACACACACACACACACACACACTTACACACCGAGACCTTAGATGCATGATACACGTTATATAACTCTTACACAATAGTAGCAAATTTCAGTGTCGTTACGACTGAGGTTGTACATGTACCAGTGCAGAGCACGAGGAATCGCATCCATTACGCCTTTATGAAGCTGTATGAATGAACCGGACTTCGTTGCCAACGCGCCTAAGTGATGGGAAGTACACGTTACCTTGGTAACAATTCAGTGATCGCCCTATCAGCCTGCCACGGTAGAAGCACATTATGTGATCAAAGGGTATGAGTTCTTTGTTTTGTTATAGTCACAATTAATGCATAGACGCATGTGTTTTTGAGTGTGAGTGTGGGGCATGTTGGTTGAAGGGAGGGGGGTCAGAACACACCTTTCAACAATACTGGTGAAACAAGTAAGGTTTTTGCTGGTTCCAATGGCAGATTTCTATTTGCTTTCAGATATTGAGTTCTTTCAATATGTAATGTGTGTCCTCCTTGCACCACATTTGGATGAGTATTTAAAAAGTACTTTTACTGACACCCTGTAAATCTGTTTTCTCACAATCTAAATTAACCCATTCATCGTAGTTATACTAAATACCCCATATCCGTAATTTCATTAACCCTGGCAACCGTAAAATACCCAAGATGCCCGGATATGATCGATTGATTGTTGTTTAATATTTATTTGATTTTAATCCACAAAACAAACTTTTTTTACGAATCTTTTCTCCCTACAAATTGTGATTCTAGCCTTTTTCTCAAATCTTAAGTCAAGTGCAGTTCAGTTACCCTCTGCCAAATCTTTTGGAAAAACATCCTTTAATTACTCGAGCTTCCCAGCCATATAAAATGTGCCAGTTAAAAACGTATAATCAATACATTTTTATTTGATCGCCTTATAAGTTTAGAGGCAGAGCCTTTTGCGTTTTATTATTATTATAATAATATTATTATTATTATTAGTCTAAACGGCTTTGGTCCTACTCACGTGATCATTCATATATGGAGCAGAACGGAAATAAGTCCTTTCACTTTTTTTGTGTAATCCATGTATTAATTATGTGTATTGTGTATTATATACAATACACATTTTAAGTATAAAATAAATCAAATCAAAAAAAATCGAAAAGCAAGTTCACGTTCAGCAACTGATGCGAAATACACCAGAAACACAATAACACAAAAACAGACTCCACTCCTACGTCGACATTATATAGTTATCTCTATATTGATTCTTGACAACCTGGGGATTTGAAAACACATGTGTTGATGATCACACACCTATAGGCATGGTGAATCAGATCGATACCAAGAGACATCAGACAGAGGTTTATATGACATATAGATTCCGCTGAACACAGACCTTGGATATTGTGTTTTTTTTTTATTTTTCTTTCTCAATCTTCCCACACTTGGACCGTTCACACGTCACAGAAAACCCGATTCTGGGGAGTTTCTATTTCTGACGTATCTCAACTATGAATTAAGCGATGGGGCAAGCTACAGCCCAGAACGAGACCGAGTTGGCTTGAAGGTGTACGGAGGTGAGCTACTGCAGGGCTGGTGAGTTCTTTATCTTTATTTTTTACAGATCTACGGCATGTACATGTTTATAGAAGGACAGGCCTTACTGTAGAACCGGTTTAGAGACTATGAAAACAAAATTTTGGACAATGCACATTTTTCAGGGCGTTCAGATAAACCCACCCTACTAGCTGAATCGATCCAACTCTGCGGGGATTCTCGCTCTAGTGCAGTCAATGTAATCAGCTTAATTGTCTGACACGCCTCCTCGACCAGCAAGGGGATAATTTATCGTGCGTGCTCGGTTCTCGGAATTTCTTTTACTGAAAGAGGCGTATCAAACGATTAAGCTGATTTTAGTGAGTGCAAATTAGCAAGACCCCCCCCCGCGGTTGGATCGATCCAGCTGGTACGATGGGTTTATCTGAACGCAGTCTTTCACCCCATTTCCATAGATTTTTAGATCGATCTATTCCTGTGGGGAGTCTCACTAGATTACTGTCAGCTTGGCCGGCTTAAGCGTTTGTCCCGCCTACTAAAAGCTGTAAGGGGGTAATTAACTATGGTGTCCGCTCGGCTGACTGCAATTTAGCGTAAACCCCCAGGGAGTTAGGTCGATCTAAATCTTAATCTTTAGATCGATCTAAATCTCTGGGAAATCACCCTTTGATTCATTTTAGGAGATGAAAGTCAGGTTTTCGGGCTGCGAATCCTAGGAAACTTACACGTAACGCCATGACAGCAGAGTTGACGAGGAAGATACTGCAGTCTCCCCATACAGCTCTTCCTTAACACTTCATTTGCGTCTGACTTTCAGTTGTTAAGTCGTTGGGTAAAACGCTAAATCTAGTTTCTTTGACAAACAAGAACGCCCAAGTTACACTGATTATGAGTCACCACAAGACAATATGCTGGCTCATATGTTGAAAATCCCGCGCTACCCAAGAAAGTCAGTTTGAGATTGCATGACACAATCTCTTTCTCTGTTTTGTAGAAAATCTCTTAGCCTGAAATCCACATGTAACCGCATAACTGCGCTCTCGGCACCTCTGTACATTACGCGTTGCACCGCCTTCCCTTAAAGACTCCTGTCTACCCCCTGCGAAGCAGAAATCAATAACGAAGAGATAGCTCTAAAGTTCATCATCAGAGTTAAATAATAACGTTTATGATATCTACATGTACAGGTTGTAGATGTGGAAACACAATGCTGAAAGCACTCACGGCAATAGTTCGGTGAGTGTGTGCTTTAACCACCCCAAGCCTGATGTGTTATAAAGAGGTTGGACGTACCAGTGAACTGTCCTAGTCTTTGCAGGTTGGATGACATACGTTTTGGCAACAGATTTGTTTATGAAAAAGTGGAATTTTTGAAAATACAGCAGAACTAAACTATTTGAGCGCGTTTCATTCATTTGGGGTGAATTATGAGGAATGGGAATTCAGAGGAATGGTTTTGATACAAAACACGGCCTGAAATTAACTATTCTGCATCGTAGATACTCAGCATGCAGAGGAAATGTAAATCGCAATCATGAACTCGTGAAATATCTGCGAAATTTTCCACCCTAAGTATATAAAAATATATATGTGGAAGGTCTCAGTGTACAGTGCTGGATACCTCCATGTTGAAAAATACACAGGTTATAGTTCTATAGACCATAGAAGTATAGACCTATAATTAATTTTATTACGTACCTACGCGTGTTTATTCTTATACCTAATATGGAAGCTAGTTCTGCATAGCCATTCGAGCTCGAATCACGACTGTGGGAGGCTTGCACTTTGTAGTGCTGTTTTTCTTTAAACAGCTGTATTCACCGTGAACAAGTGGAACGAAGATACTAGATTCAAACCCACTGCATATACAACCTAGACAAATAACATCTATAATCAGGCCGAAACGAATAATTCATTACCCGCAATACAACCGATACATCTTGAAGTGTTCGAAACGTCAGTTGGAGACAATGATTTACAGTTGCCATGTATTTGACTGTGTGCTTATGCGTAAGGTATACAGGTGTATATGATATGTGTGTTTCAATCAGAGCAATATAGATTTCAGTGATTCTGATGTTTGACATTATTGTGGACACGGGCAGATCAACGCCAGTTAAGAAGAGCGATTGGAGCCCGGAAGCTCCTTTAGATTGTTACAGAATTTGCCTGCGCACATGACACGTATAACAGGGTAACCATGTCGTTTTGAATCCGTTATGTATCGCGCTTCTTTCAACAGTAATCTTGCTACGAAGGATTGGAGAAGCAGTATACATCAGTTCTTGATAGCAACTGGAATAATCATGCTGCGTATATGTGTATCACCGTTGCTGATCGTTTCTGATTATATTGAAAGGAAATAGTCCGGAACTTGATGACAGAGCATGCTCAAGGATCATATCAAATAAATAAATAAATATATAAATCAGCTTATCGGATCATGGTGTATATGTAATTGACGTCTAAAATCGCGTGATGGAAATGTGGCAAATACAGCAGAAGGCGTGGCAGGTCAAGAATTGATTTTTTCATATTATTCACAAGAGGGAAAATTCGGAAAACTCAGCAATAGGATTATTTGAATGGCAACACTTGCGGATCGGAAAACTCGTCATGAGAGACGCTGGCGAGGCCTTAAGACTCCAACAGAACCTATGGATTATATGAGACCAAACGCACTTATCCATTTTATGTGATTGGATGACTATAGCACGTATAAACCATGAATATATGTCACACACGATGTATTGACTCATATTACCGTCGTGAGCAAATCCGTGACTCAAGTCAACGATTAAAATCAACAACCAAGGGCACTGCGAGGAGCGGTTCTGTGTAACATGTTAATTACCATCAACTTTGATTTGTTTTAAAGTGGCTATGCTCAAAGAAGACTCAGTTCAATAACATTGGATTCAACGAACGTAGGACCCAGCCTTTAAGGGATATGATGATACAAATACGAAAAGAGATAAAAAAGAATGTAACATGTTGATATCTACCATTAAGTATGTCCATTTTAAGCAAACAGATCACCGTTCCGTTCAAGAGTACCTCTGTTTAAGCCAGACAAAGTCAGGATTGGCTTGAATACATTAGGATACCCTTTGAAGGTCTATAAAGTGTGGTTGATTAAGTGACTGCTTTGTTCCAATTCGCTAACTCTTTAAGAGCGTTAGACGGGGGCTGTCATTTCTTCATCTTCCATGAAAATGTCAACGGCGTGTTTTAATGGAATAATGATGTAGGGTTAATTACTAGGCGATAGCCAGAGACAATGATTGATTCTTCCTTGCCAGGTATTCTCACAGTTGTTTGACGCTCGGTGTGGTTAGAAACTACAATAATGGATGTGATTATGTGGAAACAGTGTGGGATTATATTAACGCTAGTCTTTGTCGCAAATTGTATTATTTACAGAACAACGGACTTATGACAGAGACAAAGTAGTTATCATGATTGAGATAATTAAATCTGAATGAAACATTTACAAAATGCCATTGGTATACATTTCGTACTTCGTAACATTTTAAATAAGGGCATACAGCAATTTTACCGCGTAGTAGGAAAGCAAGCATAGACAGTAGTTCATTTACATGGAACTTTAACCGCAAACAGAGAAAATGAACTGTTTGCGTAGAAGCAATAATATTACGGTAATATTACGGTAAACGGGTTTAATTGTCATAGCCCAGAATGTCGCTGGAGGTGATCTTGTGGTTGACCTTCACCCCAATCACTCTGATCATGGTGATATTAGCCATAGTATCGGTGCGCCACTACCAAGGCGACTACTACAGCTGTGATGTATATATCATCTCTATACTCTGCTCAGTCATGTTACAGATGATCGTCGCCATTCCGGTCCAATGCAACGCTCTGGAAGGCAAAGCATGGACGCCATCTTGGTGTTCGGCGTTATTTTGGTTGAACACATCACTACGAGCGATAGAACTGATGTCAGTGTGTTGGATTTGTTTAGATCGGACATTTCTTTTACGGAAGCGAGATGTTTTAGTGGACAACTTCGGGAATTCAAGTACAATTAAATTCATTGTCGTCCTAACGTGGCTGTTTCCGGCCATTTTAACACTTATCCCGATCTACGGCTTGGACAAGACACTCTACCCCAGCGTAGGAAGATGCCAGTTTCTTCCACATGAACTCGAACCCAGTTTTGCGGGGTTTATAGTGATCGTGGAGATCGCGTTGTTTTTTGTGTGTGTGATCTGCGCCGTGGACGCCATGATCTCCTTTAAGAGGCTCTTGGTAAAGAGATTGTTCCGTGCGTCTGCCTACTCCCCAGACACTAGCGCCAGCCAGATCACGCTATTGAGCAACCACAGCGGTGGGCCGGAGACATCGCGGACCCCGGTATCTTACCAGCCCAATCGTGCTGCAGGTAAGGTTTTCAAAAAACGCACCTGATAATTAAAGTTCAAGGCTGTGACTTTTGTCCTACGGGTTTCAAAAACCGGACGTAGATTGACCACTACGATTAATTTTTTTATTATACATATTATGAAACTTGATATATGTATCACAGTCCAACAGTATTGCAGGTGAGTTTGCTTTATAAAAACAACAGATAGCTTTATCTGAATTCAATTCCAAAATAGAAACCGGCTGTCAGAATTATAACATATTATGGAAATGCAAATGAATTGAAAAGAGCAGACAAAAGTTTTACAAGCTGTGTATTGAAATATATTTCGAAGCTGCCCAAGGACGTCATTTAAACATTGCACTGTAAATGATGATAATGATTTGATGTAAATCGTGTCTGTTAAACTCTAAATCTGTCTACTCTTATCTATACACGTCAGTTATGTGATTATGTTTCTATATCTCTTCAGTCATCCTTTTAACTTTTTATCAAAGGAGACGGATAAATTATAGTCACTTTATTCGTTGGTCACTTTATACTGTTAAAACATGCCCCATCTATGTTGTTATGCAGGTGACATTAGTATAATAAGAAAATTAATATCATAAAAGAAATAACGTATGAGAGATGATTATTTATACATTAGATACTAACAGAAAGCCACATACGTATAAAGATCTCTGTGTTCAAAGTTGATGAGAAAAGGAGAAAAACAAATTGATGGGAGACCATCAGCCCAATAAACACAGAACGTTATATTATATGACGTTACCGTAACTTTACCGTAAGGTTACCGTAATGTTTTTTGGTTATATAAACTGCCAATGTCTCATTTAGATATAATTATCTTAATCATGATAACTACTCTGTCTATGTCACAAGTCTGTTGTTCTGTTATGGTAACGTTATAATTATTTTCTATGTTGCTGGGAACTTGGTTTAATTATAATCTTTCAACATGAAAACCAAAAACAGGTTTTTAAAAATTGCAGCAAAGGCAATAAGAACAAGGACATATGATAATAATTTAAAGAAACCTGTCTATGAATTAAATGGCACTTATTAAGCTGGACCTTTCGGTTCCATGACATGTTAACCATCCAACCTAACACATGATTATGTAGTAGAAAAAAATCGATTCAAAACAACAATATCGTGTTTCAATTAGCGGTTTTGTTCTACATTACAGTTTTCATTATTAACCTCAAGTTCTTTCTGATTGTTATTGACTATAAAAAATAAGAGGTTTGTAAATGCCTTTTTGTACCCTGAATAACACGGTGTTAGGCGGCCACCTGTATCACACTTGACTGCTACGTAACACAATAGAGTTGTCATTAGCACCCGCAGATCAGGGTGAACTCACTGGGGTAAGGGGCATGAGGTGTGTTGTGTTTGTTTTTCATAAATGACGTTAGACTTCGAATCACGTCACATGCATTTAGGCACGCGTTTTGTTTGCATTGCCCTATATCTTGAAGTTAAAAAAAAAAACACGGTTCGGCTGGGCAAAAAGTGAACCTTAAGTGTGTCTTTGTGGGTACATATCAGACTGCATACAGACTTACCGTCTGTAAGAATGTTAGGTATTAGAACGATAATTTTTCTGTCGCCTTGATCACACTGTTTTATTTCGCTGATATTTACGAACTGTAACGTTTGAAGTCGCCCTGTTCAACTGTTTACCTATACCGTCAGACGTAAGTGTACTTCCTATCCAAAAGGGATGTATCTAATCTCTCTAAGAATTAAATTTTAACGTGTTGCTTTCAAACAGAGCAGAATTTGTATCAGCAGCAGGTGGTTTTGTATTATGCATGGCTGCAATGTTGGAACAACCAAGGTAACCTAGTGTGCACTTACAGCTAAGGATTTACATTTAATATATATTGCTGTAAGACGTCACTGGATTTTGAAAACAGCAAGTTCCGTCTCTCGGGTATAAGACATATTCTAACCTTAAAAAGCATTTTTTTTACTATTATGTGAGCTAAAGTTCGGAATTAGACGGGCTATTCAGTGCGGGGTTATTAGCAGCGCCATTTCTGAGCTTCTATGTGTTAAAAAATAAACAGCTTCCTTTCAATGTTTCCGTGGTTTGCTATCCTACTTATGTTTGGGAAGAAATAAAATAGTTTGAAGAAATCTGATTCGAAAAACCATAAAATACTGTTCTGTCAAATTTTCTGGTTAGTCTAAACATATTTAATTTATCTGTCTTCGGCAACCTTTGCTGTCAATATAGGTAATCTACACATTGCTTAATAATTTAATAACGTTTAATTTACAGCATACTACATATTGAGAGATGAAATAATATCCAGTAATTTTGAAACGCTGCTGTATCAAATAACACCATAATGATTACGTGCTGCATGCTGCATGCACTTTCATCGCCCGCACACACACGCACGCACACACACACACACACACACACATTACAAGAAAATCTTATGACGGCTAAATTGCATACACGCAAGAACTCTCGATAACACAGCAGGTATATATACGTAACGAGATACGATACTGATACACGAGCAGCGTGTTACATATTTGGACACATGAATTCATTGTCATCAGGTGACAGGTCTTTGTCAATTAATGAGTCGAGATCGTGTGCGTGTTTTAAAAGATTTAGATGACATAGATGTAGCCTTATGTATCGTCTTATGTGTCCTGGTACTCAGGCTGCGGGTGATGGGATTGGTTTGTGTATGCGAGGGGGGGGGGGGGGGGGGGGGAAGGGTGATTCATACAGGTTCAGGTTAGCGTGATGCAAGTGGGTCAAAATCGAGGACACGATTTACATGTAGGAATGAACAAGAACTGGACCCTGTATCCCAAGGGTCTCTCTCATACAGCAACACCGAGATAAACTGTACATTAAATTTGACTCTGTACAGGTTCTATACTATACGATGGAACAGTGTCTTATTTCTTACTTGTATTCATCAAATGTCTGCTAATTGGTAGATATTGATTTTTCTGAGTTGAATATCGATCACAGGTCATGTTAATTCTCGTTTTTTTCTTTGCAAATTGAAAAATGATGTTTGTGATTTGCTTTAATACCGCGTAACAGGCAGTGGTATACAATCAAATGTAAATGAAGTGCCTTAATTAACAAGCACAGTAACGTTTCAGGATGTCATAAAAATTTGGCCATTAAAAAGTTATGCCTATTGTTTTGTGAAATGTAACATCTACATTCTAGCTGAGTACTGCTGAGTTAGCCTTGGCGCTAAAATGTTCCGCCTTAAGTAAAGAACTATTTTCACTGTTGTTCATCTAAGAGCCGATGTCCTCCAATTCTTTCGTCTCTGAATTATAATTGAATATATGTGGCGCCATACCCTAGAAGACATCGTCTCAATTGGATCTGACGACAAATGCAGTCATTACTTAACAACTGTAGTAATGTCTGGTAATATGTGACGTGATTCACTAGAGTATTACGTCACAACTGCAGCTTACTTCTCGGTTTAAATTAAAATATCAGATTATCCAAGTTCTGGAAACGCCTCATAAGACCTTAAAATTTGATGACATTCATTTTTAGGTTTGACAGGAGAGTAAGGTAGAAAATGCAGTAAAGTCTGGTAATATGTGACGTCATTCACTAGAGTATTACGTCACAACCGCAGTTGACCTCTCGGCTTATATTCACTTCTATCTGCTACTTTCTAGGTCTGTCAGGAGAGCAAGGTAGGAAAGATCGACTGAAATACCAACTACAAGTGGAGGTCCTCAACAGCACCCTTGTACTATGCATTGCCTTGGCGACCTACTGCACAAAATTTTTCCCCGCAGATGTAAGTAATCACTTCTTAATAACAATGTCAACGTTCAAATTCATGATATTGTCGGAGCTATTCACACACGGTATCGTTATACTATAATCCATATAATCTTAAATGCACACCTGCTATAGAACATGTAAATAAATGTCGTTAATAATCAATTACAGTAATGAACGGAGTCAATTCGAAGTTTTATAGTAAAAATAGCTAGCAATCGTTAATCCCAGAAGCGCAGTTTTTTCATTAACGCCTAATTACATGTCAACTTAACTAATTTTCTGGACCAATTGATACGACCCAGGGGGAGGGGGCTCGTTCAGGCTATCAGAAGACTGTAAAACCAGACTAACAATACAGATGGTTAGATATACAGTATAAAAAAGTACAAAAGTAGTCATCATGATTACACATTGATACTCGTTAATTGAAGAAATATTGAATGAATGAGTAATAAAAAATGATTAGTCAATCCATATAAAGATATTCATAAAGATTTTTAAAGAAATTCTTATTCTTGCATGCATGCTGCATGCTTTATGAAATTACAATGCTTTTTTTATTCGCAATCAAAATGAGAGTCAGGCGGTAAACCCACTGTATATGTGTCCGTACATTATATATCTAAGTCCTGTGTGTCTTAGCCAGAAAATAAAAATGATTTCTTGAAACTAGATTTGCTTTAACACGTCTTTACATTTCAGATCTTATTAGTGATCACCATGATCTACAAGTTAGAGCCGTGGACTGTGCAGGCCACGTATCTGTGGTTCCTACACGCCGAAGCTCTCGTGGTCTCTCACATCTTGTGGATGGCGTCTTCCCGCTACAGGAAGGCATATAAAGTAGTCGTCTTCAAGTGTGATTTTAGGACGTCTAAAGCTCTAGAGGGTATGTGGAGAAAACCGTGTGCCATAAGTTGCTGAGAAGATTCAATTTGGTTTAAAAGATTTAAAAAAACGAAGAAAAAAGCATATTTTGAACGTTTCCCTATCAGTGCTAGTTTTTGAAACGAACTTAAAGCGAAAAATAATTAGAAGATTTAGCTGTCTTTCATTCAAACAAATAATCAATCAAACTGATTAATTTCAGAATATCAAAATATGAAGGTAAAAGCCTTAGATTATTTGTCACGTTGGTTTTTTGTGTTTATTTCCAGACGAGCGGATGGTGCGCTTACAGTCGGTCTTCCGACGAGGGACGATGTCTCATGGAGCCGGAGCCTCCGTGACATCATCCAACACCGAAAACGCTGATGTGAGATCCGAAAGCACTCTTGGTCGAAACACACGTCCGCATCGGTATAAAAAACGATACGAGCAAAAACTGACCAACATCTCACTGGACCCTGTTCCACCTGAGCCTCGTAAGGAGCCATGGTGGAAAACCGCCCTTGCTCAGAGTAATAAATATGAACTGTCCAGCTTCGGGAGGACCCCTTACGGCGCTAAATCCCACAGGCAGTATGGGCCCAGCAAACCACAGGGGGATGATCGGTCGGATGCGTACTTTTACATGCAGGAGGTGCCATCAATATCCAAAGGAACTCCGATGCTGGCACGCGCCTCCCAAGGGGGACCTTCGACGTCCAATGATACATCGTCCTCGAGCACCGCCTTTGCGGGCAGGCGCGACAACGAAGGAAGATACGTTGTTGATCCCAGTTCGTCGGGATTTACAGGATACATGTCAAGTGACTATCACCACGACTGTTTGACACAAGATTGGAGCTTGAAGCGTCAAAACAGGCACTCCACTTTGGAGCCCCTTGCGGAGTGTGAGACCATATCGCTGGATGATTCTGACGATGTGCAGGTAGAGCCACCTGCAAAAACGCCACAGGTTTCTCAAACCTCTTCTAATTTTGACAAAAAGGGAAGTTTGAGCCAAATTAAAAAGACAACACGACCAATGCGAAGTCCTATAATGCCAACGAATATTAAGTCTTTGCGAGATTTCAGAAAACAGTTCCAAGAGGATAATTCCAGCAGTGGAAGAGATTCGGACTCCGTAGATGCAATTCCAAATGGTGGAGTCATGACAAACGGTTCCACGCCGGTCGATTACGACAACGTGCGTCACAAGTCCGTTGTTCAGATAGAGAACAGAAAATTGAACAGCTCTTTTAATAATAATAACCCAACTAAGAATGCTTCACACTCTGTTCGGTCTGGGGCGAATAACTTGTCGAAAAACCCTGTTCCTGCACCTAGAAAACTGTCCAGTAAAAAAGCTGGCACCAAAAAGCCGCCAGATCAGAAGAATGGTCGAGAGTCGCACCCAAAATATGTAACAGTCATATCAATAGTTTGATTTTGTGATATATAATGTCTCACTATGGGGGCAACAAAATGCTATAATATTTGTTTATGGAGGCTGTTACAGAATTATTAATGCAAAGAAATTAGTATGTAAATACTATATTTTATTTATTACCACTGTAAGTAATTTTTCAACAAAATGTTGAAAAGTTTTTCTACCTGAATATCCACGAGGACACTACGAAATAATATAATGTTACATTGTATAAAAACACGATACATGTGTACCATTGGTTACCCTGAGTTGCTGATGGTCCCCTTGCGCCACCTGGGTGTGGTAAGGAAGGTCTGGTACACTGGGATTCAGGGTGTGACCATTTTTAGAACACAGTATTCAGTATCATGCGAATCTGTGCGCATAATAACTAAGCTTAGGTGTGAATTACATTACTTCATCGCTCTATCAATAAAACGTGATAGTTTTGTTGCTGTATGGGAAATTTTGTCGCAATTGACTGGGCTACGCTTCGCAAAATCCTTATGGTCATAAATTTTACCGCCATCAAAGACTATTTGTAAAACGCACGATAAATGTTTGAGCTTTTCTATTGAGGACGGTTATACTTTTCTCTTCTTTTGTTTTAATTAATACTCTTTATTTATTTATTTTTTCATTTTTTTAAATTAGTCAGCTGAAGGTACACGCCAGTAGTCGACTAGAACAATTAGTCAGGCCACAGTGATGCAGGCTTTCCGTGATGACTATTTTGATCTGTTGACCGGATTTTGTAGCACTGAGCATGTTAAATTAATCTCAATCGATTGAACTGAACATTGGATTCACGGGAATTTTGATACTTTAAGCTGTGAAAGTCATTTACTTTCTTGGTTAAACAAACTTCGTTGTTGGGATCAGGACTTATTTTAAAAACGTTAACGACCGATTATTTTAAAGGGGTGTGACCTCATTCTCTTTCTCTCTCCCATAAGGTCTTGCAAAAAAGATTACAAGTAGCCATGGCTGTAACTTACTAGCAGTGGACGCTCAAAACAAGAGACAAAATAAGCACAAATATTGTGATAAAGCCACTAAAGGTAGTAGCTAGCGTGTCATATTTACTCAAGATGAGATGCAGTACGCTTCTCTGAAGTTTTAATTACTTTACCAACGTGCAAGTTTTGGTGCAATGAATTGATCAGATAAAAAAGGTTGCCCCTACACGCACAATGGAGATTATGGTGTTATTGACTTTTAACTGTAACCCGACTTCTGTGTAGGTCGACTTGAGTTAAATCTTGTTGAGTATAAATAATAAAAGGGATGGATATTTTTCCACGCTTGGGACCATTTGAAAATATTGATATAATTTGTAGAGAGATGACATTATTTATCTACTTTGTTATTGTTTATTGGAGTTACTGGGTTCAATCAATATGAAGACTTTTAACTGTTTGTAAATGTTCCATTTATTTTCACAAAGATACACGACAGAAATAAATTGTTTAAAAAAATAAGTATAGTTTTAAATGTATCGCTGAAAAGCATCGCCATAAGACATTTCTTGTCACATTTCAAAAGCAAAATTCAGGAGTAATAAAATAAATTATATATAAAAAAAATAATAATAAATCAATGAAGAAATAAGAAAAAAAATTTCAGGAGAACCCACTCAATCTTGGGTATATAATCACAGGGTATTGATTCCCAGTGTAATTTGGCCCCCAAAGGTTAATGCCACCAACACATGCCACATGGCAATCACAATTATAAAATCACTACCCGTGTCTCAGGCAATATTCATATTGACCCGACCCTTGTTTTTGTCTTTCTTCCAACGTGTCCTTTTCCTTTCAATTTCTATTTAGCTGGACATTTAATATGATAGATGAAAGTTTTCAGCCTTTTTTTCAAGTTTCATTACTAGACATGAATCTCGGTTAAAATAAATAAATCAATAAAAACAATTAGTGTGGGACCAAACACTATCAGCTGGGGATCTAAGCCATGTTGGACCCCATTAAAATTTAATTGAAAATCTTGTAATTGTGGTATTCCATGGAAAAAGCTCACGCCTGCAGTGCTATTAATTTTCAACCCCCTCCCCTCTATCCCTTACAATCAAAACTGAGAGGTGAAAATGTTTTATCACCTCATATATTTGTTTTAATGCTTAATACTTGTACTAGTAACCTTCAAATGACGTGGGTTGGAGAAACCTTGAAAAAGCATTTCCCAAAACAAAAAAATAATCTCTTCTTCCATATTTCTTGGTTTATTATCTTTCAAATTGAGAGATCAGTTTCTTCTCAAATTGCAAGCAGTTTTTTGTTAAGGTGTTTTTTGTTGTATATAAAACTTTCATCATCCGGGCTATCACTGTATATAAGAGGAGGCAATGGCAGGGTTCCGCTTGGCTCCAAGACGCTCCCTTTCCAAGTTTTGAAGTTCAAACATGAGGCTGTGGGAAACGTTGAGGAGGTCGTCTGTCAACTGACGCTGTCTCCCTCTGGTGACCATGTGCAGTGGGCGGAGCCTGAAGATTGACATGCATATATTTGCACATTAATAAATTGCTTGGTGCTGGAACCAAGTGCAAATTTTCTAAACATTTAATCTTCAAAATCTCTTTACGAGAGAGGTAGTTGGCCTGAACAATGTAGGGGGAAGGGGTAATGGAGGTTAAGAAGATTTAAGAACTGCCCACATTTGTAATAAAAGTTTATATTGTAACAAATCAAGGAAGAAGTAAAGCTTGTTCACTCAATCAAATCCATAACAAAAGATTTCCAACCTACACAATTATTTTATTTAGTAAAAACAAGAAAGCTTGTTGTTTTTATATAAATAAAAGATTTGGGAATGACTGTGATACCAATTTCTAACTGGTAACATTTTCCATCTCACCTGTTTAGTCTCTCCTCCAGTGCTCGTTTCTCCTCGGAGATTATTTTCTGTGTTTCTGGCAGAGTCTGTAATTAAGAGAAGATCATTAAGAGACAAAACTAAATGAATTTATATCACGGACATGGTAATTCAGAAAAACTCTGGGTATTCTCAACTATACAAATATTCTTAATCTATGCATGTCCTTCACCTTGGCAATCTTATAATTGTTATCCAATCAGACTACTGAAACGACGTCTACTACTACTACTAATAGTACTCCTACTACAAATGCTAGTACTACTACTACTGCTACTACTGCTGCTACTACTACTACTACTGCTACTGCTACTAAATGTACTCCTACTACTAATGCTACTACTGCTGCTGCTCCTGCTGCTACTGCTACTACTACTACTACTCACAGCTGTTACTACTACTCACAGCTGTTAGTTGGGCCTTCAGTCCGTCAGTCATCCCCCCTGAGGTCCAGGTTAGAGGGAGGTGGCTGGACACTGGGTCTGGAGCTGTCCCAGCCCGCCAGGCAATGCTGCAATAATAACAATAATAATAATAATACAGACATGGAACTTGATATGAAAAGAATCTGAAATTTTACTGTGGCACCAGACGCTTTTTTGTGATGAATCTCGGAACAAATCAGTTTAAATGTAAAAATCTTTATTTGATTCCATGGAAAAGCTCGTGTTTAATAATAATAATAATAATAAAATAATAATAATACATATATTTTATTCATAAAGTAGATATAACTAGCAAGAAATGATCACATATACAAAAAGAGGATCTTGATGTGACATAAATGTAATATTGAACTAACACCAACATCCTGATCAGGCTAAGGTGACAGGGCCATATAGACAAGAGAGGAGCATACAGAAAAGATCTAAACCAGAGATACTGAGAGTACAACAATAATAATAAAATTATTTTTAAAAATATGGTAGAGAAAAACTTGGGCATTTTATACCTCTGAGTGGGCTGATATTGTGCACTAAAATGTGAGGGCTTTTCTTGCATGTACATTTACTGGTCTAAGTGTTTTTTAACTGTGATGTCAGGAATATGTGATTGAATAACTTATCAATATTCTTAACTATACCAGGTCTCCCTTTTACAGCTAGAATAACAAACCTGTGACAAAGCGTAAGAGTCAGAGGGGTCGAAACTTTTCCTCCTGTGTGGCCGAAGTTTATAGGGCGTTTGGAGAGTGGACCTTGGAAAGCTGACCCTGGAATACAAACACAATCAAAGCAGATAATAATCTGACCAAGAAGATGTCATTTCAAGGCCTTCGGCATCTTTTTATCATTTCTACCACTTCCTCACAATTGACAAATCAAGTTTAGAATCATTTTCAAACTTCTGCACATGATTTTTCAAAATAAACCACAACAGTTAGATCATGGGTGGATTAACAATGCCATGTGCCCCTTCAAGAATCCATGAAATTCAGATATCAAAGAAGCACATCCAGATATCTGTTTCCATGAAATTCAGATATCTGGATGTGCTTCTTTGATGACTTGGTTCAGTAAACTTCAATCCAACTTGTCCCTGAGCATCAGTCTGACGAGTGTGCACAGGTGGAGGTTTGACAATGAAGACACCGACTTCACAGACCGACAGATCATAGCAAACGCCAGCAGACAGCTATTACATGGGTTTTCCGTAACCATTGTTAAGTGTGGAATAATTATGTAATTTTGCAATCCTATCCCCCATCACTTACATGGCATAACCTGGAGATTCTGTGGTGGGTTTTTATCCTAATGTTATTAAATAATCAATATTTATACGATCTGGCTATCCTCTCACCCATCATTTACCTGACATACACTGGTGCTTTTGTGATGGGTTTTTCTCCTGAGGTAATTGAATACTGAATATTTATACGTTCTGGCTATTGTCTTCCCCATCACTTACCTGACATATCCTGGAGATTCTGTGGTGGGTTTCCTCCTGAGGTTGTTACATATTGGACACACGCTCTGCCCATCCTCGGCCTCGTTCACAGGGACAGGGTACAGACGCTCGTTAATTGTGTAAGTGTGAATGCCTGGAAAAAGCAACAAACAGGCATACAGAGATGAAAGTGGATCTTTAAAAAATCTGGAAAGTGCAAACGCCAAAGGCACACATCGCTGTAAGGTGAGACTGGAGAGGGGGAATAAGGGGGTATAAAAACAACACACAAATTTTTATCCAGTAATCCAGAAGACTTTCATCTCTAGGTTTTTATAGACTGAGGTCATCTTCAGAAAGTTTAATATTTGTTTTGGACAACTGATAGACATCGAAATATTGGAGCTAAACTTTTTCAATATTAAGCTGTTGATTGAAGAAAAAAAAAAAAGAGAAATTATTTTATTTTTTCTACTTGTTTTGATCAAGTTTTCTGTGGCCTAATGATCAGTGGACTGAAATGACTTAATGTGCTGACTTGGTTATGAGATAAGTACTCTCTCTTATGGATAAGGACACTGCTACAGATTAATATTTTTCTTTTGGAAAGTTCTCAAGCAAAAAGCACTAGTGCAATACTCACATGTGTGATCTGGATATTTGAGTTCAGGAGTTAAAGCCTCCGGACGTTGGAAATCATCATCTGAATAACTGCAATTGAATTAAAAGTTGTTATCAACAATACTGTGTTTACTTTACTTTAACAACATTTTTCTTCAATACTTTCAGCAGTTAAAAAATATATGCCTGATAATACCCTTAAATTCGACACAATAATAAAACATTAATCACCATAATTAGCCAGAACACATTTAACTAAGATGCACACTGCGCTGAAAATTATTCATCTGCAAAACATCAGAAGAAAATAAAATATGTGAGTTATAGACTTGTTTGCTGTGTTCCAGGTGAAATTTAAGTTGAATCTATTCAACATCTCCCCGCACTGATGAATATAAACCTTCAGCCTACACCCCAGTCCCCACCTTGGAAAGGCTCTGCTGACACACTCCGCTTTGTTCACTCTTCGAAATTCTTTCAACTGTTCAAAGTAAGCATCGGGCATCTCAGTCACTGATTGGTTGTTGTCAAGGAGACCAGCTATCCAATCATAGCCGAGTAATGGCCTTCCATGATCTTGTTGTACGCTGTCTTCAAGAACTCTGCTCTTGGTTTCCCTGCCTTTCCGAACACTGAGTTTACCAAAGCTCTAGAAATAACGAGACCAATCAATGATGTTTTTTTAAAATCTGAATGTTACCATACATGACATTGAGGTTCAAAAAAATAAAAAAAATAAACAACCTTTGGGGATCTAAAAAAATAACTTGTAACAAATAAACTAATGCACTTGCTGATTATAACTTAAGACAGTTCCAAATTAAAAACAAAATATATTAATATATAGCTTTTAAAGGCCAATGGTCTTCTTCACCTGGCTTATAAGATAAATAGCTACCTGTTCTTTGGGCCCCGCAGAGATTAGTACAGACTTGGGTCTCTTGTCTGTGTTATAAACATCCGACCCCTTTCTCTCATTTCCAGGGACTTCTAACTGTGTACTGACAGGCCTTGGTAATTCCCTTCTCACAGCCTCTATTGGATGGCGTAGAGGTCTGATGGGTGACATTTGTATAGGGGGAGACTCTGTCTGCAAGTCTTTTTCATGAGACTCAAGTCGTGTACTCACTCTGGAGGGAGTCTCGCGTAAGTTGTATCTCTGGGGTGTTCTAACTGCTATTTTCCTAGGCCTGGGACTAGTCGGGCTGAACAAAGACTTTGTGAACTCGGCTCCCAGGTGTGGAGACTGGTCAACTTCACTGTATGAAAAATTCAACGAGGAACGTTTCCTCTTTGCCTTCCTCTCCCAGTCTGGCTCATGCCGAAACTTTGAACTCACTGGAATATTTTCATCGATAAGTTTCCTCTTTTTCAAGATGGACTTTGGGGTGTCCAACAAGGAAGTCATGGCTGACCGCCTGGGAGTTTTAACGCTTCGCCAACCATGTCCAGAAGTATCCTTGACGTGGACATTGCGAGCAAAACTGACGTTACGTTTTTCTTGTGATCCTGGGGTCCCTCTCTTTACAATGGGTGAATATGGTGTAGATACATTTTTGATATTTATTCTGTTGCTCAGGGCTTTTCTTTCCGAGCTCCTTGACATTCTCGACTTTCTAGGGGTTCTGAAGTTTCTATGAAGGCTTCTGTTTGGGGTTATTGGCATACTGCATCCTATAAATTATATATTTTAAACATTTGAAAAATTGACAGTTTCAAAACTTTATATGCCTACATTTTTCATTTAACCATGAAATTCTTTTATAACCCTGAATGTACATACTAGTACTTTTTTAATACAATTTAAAGCTGGGTAATGGCTTACACTATGCCTTTATTATCATCATATTCATTTCAATTACTTGATGAAAACAAAAAAAAAATGTTAAATATGCATTTTACAACAGTATCACCATAGAATAAGGAACCAAACACATAAATTTTGAAACAAAATAAATAAATAAAGGGGCAGTAGAATCTAGCTCTTAAACTGTAATGACCTGCACTGCCTACCTGAACCTGTGCGGGAAGAATCACCCAAAATCCTCTTCACATCAACTTGACCCTGCCTCAGTTTTTGCAGCAAAGACTGGTTTTGTATTCGAAGACCTCCAAGCGGACTTTTAGCCTTACCTGACATGTTTTACATGAGCTACTCTATTAAAAAGGATAAAGAAAAATGTAAAGATGATCCTGATTGCAACGCCTTTGTTGATATATTTTATTTATTCCTGTCTTATTTTAACTCTATTTTATTTCATCGCACAAACCAAAAATCATCTCCGAGCAAAATTTGGCTATCTTTTCTTATTAAATGAGTCAGTGATATTTTCAAATGTGTTGTATTGATCTCAACTAATACAGTGTGCAGTTATAATGTTTAATTATTTATTCAGAATCTTCAAATATAAAAAAATAGTCTTACCTTTCCTATTTTAAACAATATTGGGTCAAGGTCGTGACCTTAACAAAGGCTTGTGATTGGTCATACTAGGATAATTTTACAAGACAGGCCACAACAACAAGTTTTTTTTTTTTTTTTTTTTTTTTTTTTTTTTTTTTTTTTTGAGAAGATTTTTTTTCCAGCTGAGTTTTAAATGACAGACTGGCAGAGGTTTTAACGTGAAAAATCAAACCACATCCTTATAAAAGAGGAGATTTCTGTCTTAATCGCACCCTCACCCCACTAGAACCTTTCCCTGTACACTTTTCCTAGCATCTCTGAAATAAAATTGTCTTTAAAATTGCTGTATTTAATGGCTTGACATACCAGTAAAAGGGATAAAAATATGTAGATTTTTTGGTGGGATTCTGATAAAAATTAAAGACATCTTGGGTGCTGATCGTCCTAATTTATCAAGACTGCACCCCACCCCAACACCACTGGCCCGTACGCCCCTTACTGTGAGTGAACAAGTTATTTTTAAAGAATATTTTACAAAAAAGTAAAAAAAAAGAAAAAAAACTTTGTTTTTTCTCCTTTTTTCTTTCACTCCAAAGAAATCCTGACGTCAGCAGCCATAACAACTTTCAGCCAATAAGATTAGCGATCTATTTTTAGAATTAATTGCAGTCATATATAAATCGTTGCTTAATCCAAAATAGTGAGATTATATTAAGCTAGAAGGAAAAGGTAAGCAAAACTATTCATTATTTTTCCCTTTTTTATTTAAAATAAGATTTTTTCATTATTTTCTAATCAAAATCTGATTAAATTTGATGCGATAGACAAAATTTTAAAATTTTACTTGACAGCTGTACCGGGATTGTAGGAACCAAGGATCAATTATCTTGTTAGCTATATTAAAGTTTTATTTTAAGCGATCAGTTATGATTTCAATATTAAAGTGCCCAAGAACTGTTGTGTTTATAATTAAAATTGCCATTGGGATGAAAATGAAGTTGATGATTTCGAAAATTAAAGGTATATGTCCCGCATGTTCTTGTTTTTGTATGAATGCGGAAGTCCGTGCGTGCCTTCCATGTTATCCCCGCATATTTGTTAACGCCCAGTGAGCACTTGACTGAAATATAAGCTGGTAAGTCTCAATCGAATCAGAAAATATACTTAATTGATACGGTACATATTCGTGTATGTATTTTTGTGTTAAAATCGCCATTTATTTGGGAAATATGACGGCGATTCCGGGCAACGGCCGGCTTGTCAGTGCCCCATATTCATTTCAATATGGCGGACGATGTCATTCATAAAATTACTGACACAGTTGTGATATGTGGATCAAATCTGTACGAGTGCCGGTTTTAAGTTTGATTTTTTAACACAAAAGAATTAACACTACATGCTCCTTACTACATATTGTTTTTTGTTTGGTTTGATATTCGTGTAACAGCCGAACGTTGAAGGTGTGTCCCCGAAATATGTTTAGATGACTCACAAATGATCAAATGGCACTCTTGGGAGAGTGAGAGAAGATGGGATCGATCGTGGAAAGCAAATTGTTTAAATTAAAAACTTTCAACAGAGGAATTTCTTAAAAATGGAATTGAATTTAAACGTTAACACTTGTCTCACTGGGTGAAATGATTGCCAATTGTAATCAGTGTGACCGAATTTACACAGCATTATAATGTTAATAACTGTAGTTCTTTTGACATTTTTACTTTATATTATAAAATATTGTATTGCACAAGTTCTAGTTTGATTTTTTTCATTGGTAGGGATCTGACACTATACCAGAAATTATATATTTCTGTACATAACAATTTCTTTCAGTCATATCTGCAATTGTGACTACTACTTGTCCATCAGATATTTTTTGCAAACATTTCTCCTGTTGTCTTACCATTATACTCTTCCTACTTTTAAAGTCTTGGTTATGTAACCAAGTTTGGTCCTTAGTCGCAGTGATGCTCAGTCAAATAGGTATGCAAAGGACTCATTTTGTTGAGGTTAACATGCTAAAAATGTAAGTGATAGATAAACGGCATAGATCCAGCATTGGCAAGTTTTAAAGTTAAACAGTTAAGTAAGTGCCTTATAATGTTGCTTTAAGTTTGTTGTGCATGTTTTGAATGCCCTGCTGTGAAATATACAGTTTGTTTCCTATTATTTGAATATATAAATTTTCCCCTGTTGTAAATAATTTTAAAGATATGCAAAAGCAGAATAGTTGAAGAAAGTAAACTGGATGTTCCTACCACATGAAAGTTAAAAAGTAGTTCTCTAAGGTGAAGACTTGTGTAATATACTGTTTAGAACCCTTGTCTACTTCCAGCAAACTCGCACACACACGCACAGCATGCTTTCTCAATTTTGACCTAAATTTCAATTTTCACAAAGGACTGATTGTTTTCACATTCACACTGACTACTGTGTATAGTTAGGGCTCTTTTGTATATATTACAGTAACACATTTCTTCAAGCATTTCTTGGCAAATATAATGAGCCCTTTCTTATTACGTGTTTATTTCCTGAGGTTTGGATCAAGATTTTTTTCAGAAACTGCTTCAGATTGTCTACCAATTTTGAAGAAAGTTTTTTTTTTTTTTTTTTTTTTTTTNCAGATATTGAACTTTTTATGTACAGACACAAATGTGTCTGTACATATTGCCATCACCTGTTTTACTATAATTACTTATACTGCTTTTAATTTTCTGTTATCAGGACTTTTATAGAGGGTCATCGTAACCAGAAGAATGCAGACAATCAAGTGCGTAGTAGTGGGGGACGGAGCCGTGGGTAAAACCTGTCTACTGATCTCCTACACAACTAATAAATTTCCCTCGGAATATGTACCAACAGTAAGTGTCGGTTTCAACACTTTTCGTAATACTTAAGTAATAAGATATTATTTCTCTCCATGTTTGTTGTTGGTTTGGTGATAAATTACTTATATCTTTTTTTCGACTAAAATTATGCTAACTTGACAACATTGTGTATTATAGCATATAAGTATATATATATATTTTTAACTTCTCATTGTCAAAAAAATGTGAAACAGTATGTAACATTCAGTGAAAATGCAAGTCTTATGAAAATTCTGCAACTTTTCCTTTTCGTTGTCAAATTAAACCTTCTATATTTAGAACGGAAAGTGCAAATTAAAACAATAGCCATTAAGTATATTAACAAAAAAAGTGCAACTTCACACAAAAGACACAAATAAAAAGAACAAGAAAGAAGAAAAGAATAAGATTCAGCTGCACATTGTAATTTGTTATTATTGTTGTTATGTCCAAATGTAAATCACATGAAAATGTCATGTGTTAGTATACTATGCACAACCACCAAACAAAGCAAAGGTCAGAGATAATGTGACATGTGCACCTGGAGAGACCCAGCTTTATCTGTCCTTTACAGTTGTGCACTGTTTGGTTGGTGACTATAATTTGAACACACACCATATATAATATAGCACACTTTATAACTGCAGGTTCTGGTTCTTTAGCTAAAGAAAATGACAAATATTCTCCCTAAGAAATGGCAGCCCTCTGTTTATGACTATGAAACCAGTCATCGTGTCAGTCAGTAAAGGGTAAAAATACACTGTTGGACATGAAAGTGTCTCAGTTAGTATCCCAGAAGTAGCGCTAACAATTTAACTTCTAATTTGTTCTTGCAGGTGTTTGACAACTATGCTGTGACTGTTATGATAGGCGGAGAGCCATACACATTGGGACTTTTTGACACAGCAGGACAGGAAGACTACGATAGGCTACGTCCACTAAGTTATCCACAGACCGATGTTTTCCTAGTGTGTTTTTCAGTTGTGTCGCCTTCTTCGTTTGAAAATGTGAAAGAGAAGGTGAGTTTTGGGATGATTTAAGGACTTATTACTCTGAGTTTGTATTTGTATCCATATATTGACCTGGGCTCTAGCTTTTCTTATCTGTGAAGATTTCAGTATGTAAACCTGGTATACAGATGGTAGATGGGCAGTATTTGTAATGCAATTGATATTCATTTTTATTTCAAAGGTTGAGAAAAAAAATTTGGTGTACAAAACGATACTGTCGGTTAATGATGACTTTGTATCTTTACTTCATAGGTTGTACTAGAAGTTGTACATAACTTTCAAAGAACAAGATATAATTCTAATTTTGAAGTGAGTTTCTCCAATTATGGAACAGCTTTTAGAAATGACATGTTATTTGCTATTGATATCGCATTGTTACATTTTCCAATATTACAGTGGGTTCCAGAAATCACACATCACTGTCAAAAGACACCATTCCTACTGGTGGGAACACAGGTGGATCTGCGCGACGACGCGGCTACGATAGAAAAACTCGCCAAAAATAAACAGAAGCCAATCTCTCCAGAACAGGGCGAGAAACTAGCAAAGGAACTTAAAGCTGTGAAATATGTGGAATGTTCTGCTCTAACACAGGTAGGATGGGTGGAAGTCGCAGAGTTGTGTAGACCCTTCTTAATAAGTTATTCATGCATGCATTTAATCAAGGTCAGCAAAACCTAGCCTTGTTTTTGGTTTATATGAACAGCCATAACTAATAAAACTCCCTAAAAGGGGGAATTCTTGAATATCAGTGACCCAATCACGAATATGTGTATTTTTGAGGGTGAGTGGGTAGTTTGGAAACAAAAACCAAAGATCAGTTATTTTACCCATAAATAAGTACCTTCATAACATACAAATGATTGACCTAATTTTTTGGCATGATTTCAGAGAGGATTAAAGAATGTGTTTGACGAGGCTATTCTGGCAGCATTAGAGCCCCCAGAGCCCCCCAAGAAAAGGAAATGTCTGCTGCTGTAGGCTTTTCACTTGCAACAACACACATGTATGGACTTAAACAGCAGAAATGACTGAAACTCCTGTGGTATCTCACAATATACATACAACCCTGGGCAGGCATCACAGAGATTTACATCCCGTTGTTCAGGATGTGTCTATATCCACAGCAGTAGTGACTGAGAGTGTGTGGTGTTACCCCAGATTTTTTGTGAACTGGAGTCTCTTGGGGGTAAAAAAAATGGTATGTAGCGAGCAAAGAAAATCATCAGTTGCTGTTGCCAATTTTGCAGTTGACTACAGAAAATTAACCATAGAGAGACACCAGCTATCTCCTCAAATTGAAACTGAAATTCACCAGGAAACCACTGGATGTTTTATTTGTGATCCTAGTTCATATTCAGATCACGTTTGAAGATGATGAAGAAATGTCTTCTGGTTTTTTTCGTCTTCTCTAGCTTTTTGAAAAGCTGATGTACAGGATACAAAATCATGGATACTTTCACTTGGTTAATCAAATAATTCAGGAATTTGATATATGAAGATGAGAAATGTTGAAGGGGATTTCATTCATAAATTGGGTCAAAAGTTATTAGATTATTTGTACCTGCCAAGAAATGTGACATGGAAGATGCCGTTCGCAAGATTGGAGTTTTGGTCACAAATTGGATTTCCATACCAAAATATGATACACCTGTGAGACCGACAGTCTTCTATTAAATGCAGACTGGATTGAAATTAGGGAGAAACAGAAAAGAAACTATCCCATGGTCAAAGGAAAACATACTGAGGGTGCATTTTGCTTAAAACTTGGGAGGTATGATCATGGCTGCCCTGCATTGTCACTGGCACTGGAGGAGGTGAATACTGGCAAGACTCCAATAGATTTTTAAAAATTGACACCCATCATGCAGAATAATGTTGCTCTTTTTTTTTTTTTTTTTATGCAAAAAAAAAAAAAAAAAGAACAAGAAGAAGAAAGTTGTG